GAGTAAATACTGTTAGATTGAATGAAGAAGTTTTTAGCTTTTCATCCTGTCACCCGGATGAACCTGGGCTAGTTAAGCTTTCGTCTGTACCACAATGACAGAGCAGCCGCCAATCTTTTCTATAGGCTTAGTGTATTTTTGATTTATTTTTTAAAGTATGGATTATTGCTCTGATGATGTCCGTCACCTTGGTACAGAAGAAAGCTTAACACAGATGCATCAGTGTCGCAGGACGGTGAGCCGAGGACTTATTCACGCAATTCATCGTGCGGCAATCCTAATTAGGTTTCAAATGAGGCTACAGCCGAAGGCACAGCATGCGAGACAAAAAATGGTGCGCCTCAGGCTGTCAAGCCCGTTATTCGAGGATGCCACTTTCGTCTCGTGTGCTGGAGCTCGCCTCTTCAGACGGGGTTAAGGTAGGCAGCACACAGTCTCTTTCAATCCAACATCAACTCGCCGTCTGATTGGCTGAGCTGACTGGCCACTGAATTGCAGGCTGTAGATGTTGAGAGTATTTATTGATCGCTGCTGACGCAAAAGCACGTTTAGGCTGATTCAACCCTTATTGGCTCGTCTCGCCAGATTGCCAGTCAGTCTGAGCGCAAATGTGAGTCCGACTCACAAGGACCAAACTGGCCACCTCGTCCGTCAGCTCTCGCCGTCACTGTCGCTCACGCTCTCGTCCTCATCGTCGCCGTCGCCGTCGCCGTCCCAGCCAGCGCAACCGTCGCCCTGAGGCTTCTGCACCCTCGAGCGGCATGTCTACTGCTCGCCTCTGCGACCAATCTGACTGTTAATCGTCTCAGTCTGAATGCCGGTTCGGAATTTGCCACAAGTCACTAGGATGAACTGCATTGGCCGCTTGGTTTCAGGGGCGCGCAGATACTGTCGCGACTTGAATGGCACCAACCTGAGCGGCGCAAACGACGTCATTGTGGTCGAGCAGGAGAACGGTGACTACCTCAGCACACCGTTCCACACATGCTTTGGCAAAATGGGTCTTATCCGGCCTAAAGAAAACCTAGTGAGCCCAATTTCTCCTTCATATTACCCCTAAAGTCCTAACAGAAAGAGACCATTTATCCAACTCAGCCTGGCGCAATTTAAGTCGGACCTCTTCGTTACTCACACGCCTCTTTTGGCTCTGAGATGTCACTAGTTAAGAACAATTGACAATTATTATTGGTTGTAAGTTATTTCACAATATTACGAAATAGGATGGGGAAAGATAACTAGACAAAAGAGAACAGGGAGCTGGACTTCTTTTCTAGGTATGAAGAGAAACTGGGTTTCGATGAATCTCTTAAGATAATATTTTTAGGTGGGCTTACTCTAGTCGCTTTTTTATACACCTGAACATCACGATCTTAATGAGGCATCCCATGATTTGTTGGGATTACTTCCATTTCGAGTAGAAGTGCTGGGTGAAGGGATACGAAGGTCGGTTTCACCAGAAGACGACGGCGAATTCTTCTTGACCAGCTGTCGATTGGCTTTACTGGAAGATTCATGCTGACG